TTCTATATATCTTTATTTTTTTAGTTTTAATATTTTTTTTTAGGTTTTGGTAAATGTGTTGTCATTTTTATTAGTGTTTTTTTTTTTAAATGTTTATTGTTTTCATTAAGTTTTAGTTTTAGTTTATTTGCAGTAATTACCAGCTATTTTAGTACTTCAGCTAAGCAGAATTAAAAAGGATGTGTTTTTAAATAAAATTATTTAAAATAAATTTTAAATGTATATTTTATGTTTATTTTATTTTAAGTATGATTGATTTTTAACAGTTTTTGTTTTACTTAACGACAGTAATTTTGGCTTGAATGCAGTCAAAACTACAAATAAAAAGTGATCAATATTTATTCATGTTGTACTATCATGCTGTAGATAGAAAGTCTTTAATGTGAATTAGCCATCCTACATACATTTGCATGTAGAAAAAGCACATGATTACAGCGGGATACAGCGAAATATTACTTTTTAATTAGTTTTAATTAGTTTTAATTCTCCATGGTTACACACCTGCCCAATAGGGCCCAGCGGATCAGGTGTGTAACCATGGAGACGCGCGCGCCTTGAAGAGGCTGGATGTGGAGTGCGCCGCTCGCTCTCTCGCTCGTCAGTCGCTCGCCGCTCTCTTCTGTGGATGCAACACCGTCCAGACACATCAAACTAACCCAAACAATGACATTATCTGCAACGACACGACAGAGACACACCATTATCTGACTAACTGAACCGATCCCGCGCACCTTTCTGCTCGCTGTTTGCCGGTAAGTGTTTGGATAGGCGCGCGTGATGCATTGAATTATTATTATTAGGGCAAAGCTGCATTTAAAAGGCAACGAGTGCATCGTTGTCAGCAATCATGCATGACTCGATTATGTTTTATTAAAATGCATTTGTTAATGCCAGCTGAATTGGAGAAGCAGTGACATTCTGTGCATTGCATGAATGTTGCAAAACCTCTCTTGCTGCATTTATTTTCATTTCCATCAAGCCTCTGCTGTATGCCTTTTTATTTTTAGTTATTCCCTTTATAATTGAAAAGAGATCTGTTTTAGTTTGATGATTGCGTATTTTCCTTCACGGCGTAAAATAGGACAAAATATGATGTCCAATGTCACTTAATAAGAAGAGGCAATTTGCGTTAAATAGTGCATTGAAGACCTTGCATTAAACTTAAGATCTTAATTTTGCCATTATTAAAATAAATAAATAAACAGACAATTCATGTGCACATATATTCTGCAGATGTTTATGGACGTTAATGTTCACTCATTGTTCCTTATTCACTGATATTGAACATATTTCAAGGTAGACAGTTTAGTGTTTGTAGGCTATATGCTATTTTAGTACTTCAGCTAAGCAGAATTAAAAAGGATGTGTTTTTAAATAAAATTATTTAAAATAAATTTTAAATGTATATTTTATGTTTATTTTATTTTAAGTATGATTGATTTTTAACAGTTTTTGTTTTACTTAACGACAGTAATTTTGGCTTGAATGCAGTCAAAACTACAAATAAAAAGTGATCAATATTTATTCATGTTGTACTATCATGCTGTAGATAGAAAGTCTTTAATGTGAATTAGCCATCCTACATACATTTGCATGTAGAAAAAGCACATGATTACAGCGGGATACAGCGAAATATTACTTTTTAATTAGTTTTAATTAGTTTTAATTCTCCATGGTTACACACCTGCCCAATAGGGCCCAGCGGATCAGGTGTGTAACCATGGAGACGCGCGCGCCTTGAAGAGGCTGGATGTGGAGTGCGCCGCTCGCTCTCTCGCTCGTCAGTCGCTCGCCGCTCTCTTCTGTGGATGCAACACCGTCCAGACACATCAAACTAACCCAAACAATGACATTATCTGCAACGACACGACAGAGACACACCATTATCTGACTAACTGAACCGATCCCGCGCACCTTTCTGCTCGCTGTTTGCCGGTAAGTGTTTGGATAGGCGCGCGTGATGCATTGAATTATTATTATTAGGGCAAAGCTGCATTTAAAAGGCAACGAGTGCATCGTTGTCAGCAATCATGCATGACTCGATTATGTTTTATTAAAATGCATTTGTTAATGCCAGCTGAATTGGAGAAGCAGTGACATTCTGTGCATTGCATGAATGTTGCAAAACCTCTCTTGCTGCATTTATTTTCATTTCCATCAAGCCTCTGCTGTATGCCTTTTTATTTTTAGTTATTCCCTTTATAATTGAAAAGAGATCTGTTTTAGTTTGATGATTGCGTATTTTCCTTCACGGCGTAAAATAGGACAAAATATGATGTCCAATGTCACTTAATAAGAAGAGGCAATTTGCGTTAAATGGTGCATTGAAGACCTTGCATTAAACTTAAGATCTTAATTTTGCCATTATTAAAATAAATAAACAGACAATTCATGTGCACATATATTCTGCAGATGTTTATGGACGTTAATGTTCACTTATTGTTCCTTAATCACTGATATTGAACATATTTCAAGGTAGACAGTTTAGTGTTTGTAGGCTATATAGATGTTTAGAGACAGTGTAGCGTCCTTGTGAGTTTTATACAAGGATGTACTGGAATTGTGGCATGTGCTGAATATATATTGACAGCATTTCATCTATACACGTAATAGCTTCCTTTTATGAAAGATCAACCGAATCCTGACATTTTCAAATGAAATCTGGTTCTCGGTGGCTGATAATGCACAGCTTATGAGCTGATAAATGTGATTGATTTATGGCGGATCTGATCGGTTTGTACAGTGAATCAGGTCGAGCTGTTGGTTAAGTTGTGTGTGTGTATCTATTTGTATATCACTGGTGCAAGTGATCCCTGTGTGATACGTTTGAGTCGATATGTTAAATCCATAAAGTGTCTGAAGGCTGTAAAGGGCGGTTACACCTTTCACTGATTGAAGTACATCGTCCGTTTGAGAGAGCTACGGGAGGGCAGTAAAAGATCCGATTTATAGGTCTGTTCACAGCTGCCAGACTATTTGGTGCCTACGTACTGATGTTCGGTCAAAGGCCATGTTGGGTTTAATAGGATCAAGAAATGCGAGGCATTTCCCAGTAAATGGGCTCATCAATGCTCTAATATGTCCAGATACTGAGAAGTGCCACTCAGATACTATGGTAAAGCCAGGTACAAGGCCAGAAGGACGGAGAATGTAAGAATTGTTGTGGCTCTTTTAGTGAAGTCAGAGGTCTGATGTTAGTTTTTGTTGTTCTGATCCATTTTTCAAGTAGCTCCCTGCACATATGTGTTATGTTTCGTTGTGCGCAGGAGGTGAATAACTAAATAAAGTAAATAATGCATCACATGCATCACATGCAACAGCTAGAGACAAGCGTTCTGTGTTGAAGAAACCCTTGGCTTTTGCACAACCTCGAGGTTGAAGTAGAGTGTAAAATAAACCATTCTTTTTCGTTCGGTGCTCCTGGGCCCAGATTTTGTGCTTCTTATACCAGGTTATACTTATTTGTAGCCTGGGCTCGGATACAAGCGGGCTCCTGATGGCAGTAAATCTGTGATGTATAGTTTTGGTTGAGCTCGGTTCAGAGGTGCTGATTAGATTCTGTGGTACTTTTTGAGGCTGTGCTTCTGTGGCGTTTAGCCGCGGCCATCCTGTGAAGTGTCTTTCCGTTCCTGTCAAAGAGCCGTGATGTTCAAATTATGCTCATCTTTGTGAATTTCACTTTTTTTGGGAAATGTTACTGTGACATTTTACCTTACATCTACAGTTTGGAAATAGACTATTAGTTACTTAAAATGAGTATGTTTATAGAGATAATTGAATAAAAAGTTACACTTTAGATTAGGGAACACATATTCACTATTAACTAAGAGTTTTCCCTTCAATGAACTCCTAATTTGCTGCTGATTGATGGTAAGTAAGGTAGTTGTTGTAGTAGTTATGTTATAATATATGGCTAAGTTAAGGGATCTAAAATATGGTCATGCAGAATTAATATGTGCTTTGTAAGTACTAATAAACAGCTAATATGCTAATAATATGCGTGCTAATAAATGAGTTAATAGTGAATTGTGTTCTCTAACCTAAAGTGTTACCCAAGTCTCTATAATATTCTGGTCTGTACATATAGCTCAGGTCCCCACAATCAAGTTTTTTGCTCAGTTTTTACACAGATGTTTTGCTCAGGTTACTGAATATATGGTAATGGCACACCTCTTCTCAATACGTCACACAATTTGATATATTATTCATCCTGTCAGCACAAACAAGGTGAATTGTGAAAGTTTAATACTTGTTCAAACTCTAGGTATGAGCAACAGTGAGGCTTTCACCAGAAAACACCAATAATAATTATTGAACTACTGTTCAAAAGTTTGAGCACTTTAGTTTTTTGAAAGAAATCAATACTTTTATTCAGCAAGTATGCATTACATTGATCAAAAATATTGACAGTAAAGACATTTTTAATGGTACAAAAAAATTATTTTGAACAGAGAATTCTGAAAAAAGTATCATGGTTACACTGATACCGATAATAAGAAATATTTACATTTCTTATTAAAATATTTACATTTCTTATTAATGTTTATTGTTTTCATTAAGTTTTAGTTTTAGTTTATTTGCAGTAATTACCAGCTATTTTAGTACTTCAGCTAAGCAGAATTAAAAAGGATGTGTTTTTAAATAAAATTATTTAAAATAAATTTTAAATGTATATTTTATGTTTATTTTATTTTAAGTATGATTGATTTTTAACAGTTTTTGTTTTACTTAACGACAGTAATTTTGGCTTGAATGCAGTCAAAACTACAAATAAAAAGTGATCAATATTTATTCATGTTGTACTATCATGCTGTAGATAGAAAGTCTTTAATGTGAATTAGCCATCCTACATACATTTGCATGTAGAAAAAGCACATGATTACAGCGGGATACAGCGAAATATTACTTTTTAATTAGTTTTAATTAGTTTTAATTCTCCATGGTTACACACCTGCCCAATAGGGCCCAGCGGATCAGGTGTGTAACCATGGAGACGCGCGCGCCTTGAAGAGGCTGGATGTGGAGTGCGCCGCTCGCTCTCTCGCTCGTCAGTCGCTCGCCGCTCTCTTCTGTGGATGCAACACCGTCCAGACACATCAAACTAACCCAAACAATGACATTATCTGCAACGACACGACAGAGACACACCATTATCTGACTAACTGAACCGATCCCGCGCACCTTTCTGCTCGCTGTTTGCCGGTAAGTGTTTGGATAGGCGCGCGTGATGCATTGAATTATTATTATTAGGGCAAAGCTGCATTTAAAAGGCAACGAGTGCATCGTTGTCAGCAATCATGCATGACTCGATTATGTTTTATTAAAATGCATTTGTTAATGCCAGCTGAATTGGAGAAGCAGTGACATTCTGTGCATTGCATGAATGTTGCAAAACCTCTCTTGCTGCATTTATTTTCATTTCCATCAAGCCTCTGCTGTATGCCTTTTTATTTTTAGTTATTCCCTTTATAATTGAAAAGAGATCTGTTTTAGTTTGATGATTGCGTATTTTCCTTCACGGCGTAAAATAGGACAAAATATGATGTCCAATGTCACTTAATAAGAAGAGGCAATTTGCGTTAAATGGTGCATTGAAGACCTTGCATTAAACTTAAGATCTTAATTTTGCCATTATTAAAATAAATAAACAGACAATTCATGTGCACATATATTCTGCAGATGTTTATGGACGTTAATGTTCACTTATTGTTCCTTAATCACTGATATTGAACATATTTCAAGGTAGACAGTTTAGTGTTTGTAGGCTATATAGATGTTTAGAGACAGTGTAGCGTCCTTGTGAGTTTTATACAAGGATGTACTGGAATTGTGGCATGTGCTGAATATATATTGACAGCATTTCATCTATACACGTAATAGCTTCCTTTTATGAAAGATCAACCGAATCCTGACATTTTCAAATGAAATCTGGTTCTCGGTGGCTGATAATGCACAGCTTATGAGCTGATAAATGTGATTGATTTATGGCGGATCTGATCGGTTTGTACAGTGAATCAGGTCGAGCTGTTGGTTAAGTTGTGTGTGTGTATCTATTTGTATATCACTGGTGCAAGTGATCCCTGTGTGATACGTTTGAGTCGATATGTTAAATCCATAAAGTGTCTGAAGGCTGTAAAGGGCGGTTACACCTTTCACTGATTGAAGTACATCGTCCGTTTGAGAGAGCTACGGGGGAGGGCAGTAAAAGATCCGATTTATAGGTCTGTTCACAGCTGCCAGACTATTTGGTGCCTACGTACTGATGTTCGGTCAAAGGCCATGTTGGGTTTAATAGGATCAAGAAATGCGAGGCATTTCCCAGTAAATGGGCTCATCAATGCTCTAATATGTCCAGATACTGAGAAGTGCCACTCAGATACTATGGTAAAGCCAGGTACAAGGCCAGAAGGACGGAGAATGTAAGAATTGTTGTGGCTCTTTTAGTGAAGTCAGAGGTCTGATGTTAGTTTTTGTTGTTCTGATCCATTTTTCAAGTAGCTCCCTGCACATATGTGTTATGTTTCGTTGTGCGCAGGAGGTGAATAACTAAATAAAGTAAATAATGCATCACATGCATCACATGCAACAGCTAGAGACAAGCGTTCTGTGTTGAAGAAACCCTTGGCTTTTGCACAACCTCGAGGTTGAAGTAGAGTGTAAAATAAACCATTCTTTTTCGTTCGGTGCTCCTGGGCCCAGATTTTGTGCTTCTTATACCAGGTTATACTTATTTGTAGCCTGGGCTCGGATACAAGCGGGCTCCTGATGGCAGTAAATCTGTGATGTATAGTTTTGGTTGAGCTCGGTTCAGAGGTGCTGATTAGATTCTGTGGTACTTTTTGAGGCTGTGCTTCTGTGGCGTTTAGCCGCGGCCATCCTGTGAAGTGTCTTTCCGTTCCTGTCAAAGAGCCGTGATGTTCAAATTATGCTCATCTTTGTGAATTTAACTTTTTTTGGGAAATGTTACTGTGACATTTTACCTTATATCTACAGTTTGGAAATAGACTATTAGTTACTTAAAATGAGTATGTTTATAGAGATAATTGAATAAAAAGTTACACTTTAGATTAGGGAACACATATTCACTATTAACTAAGAGTTTTCCCTTCAATGAACTCCTAATTTGCTGCTGATTGATGGTAAGTAAGGTAGTTGTTGTAGTAGTTATGTTATAATATATGGCTAAGTTAAGGGATCTAAAATATGGTCATGCAGAATTAATATGTGCTTTGTAAGTACTAATAAACAGCTAATATGCTAATAATATGTATGCTTAATACAGTAGTGTTCCCTGATCTAAAGTACAATTAGATAAAATTATAGAGATAATTGGAAGACATATTTTATGAGTGACATATAGGTCAGAACCATTATACAATAATTTTCAAAAGTTTGGAATCAGTCAAATTAAAACTTTTTGAAATAATTATGCTGATAATGTCTGCATATAATTGATCCAAAAACAGTAATTATTATAAAATATTTCTTTACAATTTAAAATAACTCTATTTGAATTTATTTCTGTGATGCAAAGCTGAATTTTCAGCGTCATTACTCCAGTCTTCAGAGTCACATGATTGTAATATGCTGATTTGCTGCTCAAGAAACATTTATTATTATTATCAATGTTGAAAACAGTTGTGTTAATATTTTTTGTGGCGACTGGGATACAAACCTTATGTAACAGTAATGTCTTTACTGTCACTTTTAAACAATTTAATGCATCTTTGCTGAATAAAAGTATTAATTTTTAATAAGCTGTCCAATGCTGCCACTAGGGGCGCTCTAGCAAGCATTGGTGTGAATTATTGTCTTCTTCTACAGTCAGATTTCTCTTTTAGGTCAACAAATGCCATTAGTTTAAAGATAATCTTGCTTGTTTAGTTATATTGTCAACATGTTTATCACTAGCTATCTGAAAATGAACATATTAGGTTAATGGCAAATAATATTTCAATGTAGCCTAACTCTATTGCCCCCATGAGTACTGAGGTTGTGGTTCAAGAACATGTTAAAGTAAACCTAGCATCGATGTCTACATTTTCATATATGACTAAGGTGTTTTTATCCATACTGTTTATGCAAGTATCCTAATGTGACCTTTTAGTTTGTAATATGTAAGCACAAGACTCTTAGAAGCTTTTGGTGCACTTTGAATACAAATCATGTCTTTGTTTCCTAACAGTGACTGGTAAACATGCCCTCATCTTTCTCCAGTAATTGCAGCATCATAACGCTAGGATTAAACTCACAACCAAAGGGCACATTAAATATGCAGCTACTCTGCGGTCGACTGCAACCCTTATGCTGAGTGCTGCTACACATTTTTTTTGTCCGCATGCCTCTTTAGCCCTCTATCGCTTCCTCACTCATGCATTTTCTGGCTGAATTTAGAGGGATTTGATAATCAGTGACGTACAAGGTCTCATATAATAAATAGAGAGCGAGAAGAGAGTGTGAAAGTGAGAGTGAGAGAGATAGACGGGTGTAAGTCTGCTGTGCGCTAACATGAATCAATGTTCCCGACCCTCCATCCAAACTGAGGAGCTCACACTCACCCGAGAGAATTCACTTCATAGAAAAAAATTCTATAGGAGAAATTGAGACGAAAGAAAGTGAATAAATTATTGAATTGTTTTAATTTACCATCGTTTAACCAGGCTAGTCAATTAAGAACAAGATGCTTATTAGCACAAGAATATTGTCATTTTGAAAAATGAAAGGGAGACAATTAAAGGAACAGTTCACCCAAAAAGGAACTGGAGTGGTGTGGATTACTGTGATGTTTTTATCAGCTGTTTTGACTCTCATTCTGACGGCACCCATTCACTGTAGAGGATCCATTGGTAAGCAAGAGATGTAATGTTAAATTCCTCCAAATCTGTTCTGATGAAGAAACAAACTCATCTACATCTTGGAGTAAATCTTCAGTAATTTTTTTTTTCTTTTGGGTGAACTGTTCCTTTAAGTGGCCTTCTATTTCATTAATATTATATTATCTGCAAGTACAGCTTTTTTTGTGTGACAGATTGAATTTTAAATTCAGTGTAATAGCTTGGAAAAGAGCAGAAGGAGAAATACTGGTTTGGAACATTTAGGTATGAAAATAATGAAGCTTTTTGAGTGAACTATCAATTTAATGTAATACATCACATCAGACATCCATAAACAATGCATAATGCAAGATACATAGAGTAATGTTTAATTGAGAACAACTAGATAAGGTACAATGATAAACAGAGAACATAAGAGCTGCCAAAACACAGTTTATATGTAACTCCTTCCCATTCTGTCTGATAACTGTGTCAGCACCATGGTTAAATATGAAGCGAGAAATTTGGAAGAGGGCTGAGAAAAGAAGCAGTGAGGGAGGAGAGCAGGAACGTAAGATGACAGGGACACGGAAGGGCCATTCATTTTGCTCATTTGCACATGTGTTGCTACAGATGAGATTGGGTTTTCATTTTTACTAAATGTTCTGTACCACTTTCTAGTTTTTGTTCTTTGTATCTCTGGACTTTGTGGATGTAATGTACTGACACAGCCTCTCTTTGTTCCCTTTTCCTCTCTCTCAAAACCCTGTCCTACGGCAATCTAAGCTCTCTCTTTCATTGTAATCTGAGTGTTTTACCTAACCAGCCACAAATACGACAAGGGACATCCAAGATTCTGCTGGACGCTTATTTCTGTCATGTTGCACTGGGTAGCACAGTGAAATCTCATTGGTTGAAAATACCTCTCCACTTAGCTGTTTTAATGCTACATTTCATCTAAAGTTAGATGTGAACTAATCCAATTTGTAATCTCAAACTTTCAACCATAATGACATTCCATCTCTTGTGAAAAAGAAGTGTGCTTACAGGAATAGTTCACCCAAAATGAAAATTAGCTGAAATTGTACTCATCTAGGCCATCCAAGATGCAGATGAGTTTGTTTCTTTCTAGGAACAGATTTGGAGAAATTTAACATTACATCACTTGCTCACCAATGGATGCTCTGCAGTGAATGGGTGCCGTCAGAATGAGAGTCTGAACAGCTGATAAAAACATCACAATAATCCACAAGTAATCCACATCACTCCAGTCCAACAATTAACATATTGTGAAGTGAAAAACTGTGTTCGTAAAAAACAAATCCATCATTAACTTCAATCGAGTCCTCTATACATAATATTGCTTTCTCCAGTGAAACATTTGTCATATCTAAATCAGAAGAGAAATATGCACAGATTAAGCATCATTTACAAGCGAAAAACACTTCTAAATATGCCGGTGGATGTCAGTTTTAATGTGAAAGGATTAAAGGATTTTTTCTTTATTAATATGGATGATAGACTGTTATTTTAGGTTTAAGTTAAAACACCTTAGGTTTAGTTCACCCAAAAATTTTGTCATCATTTACTTCTTGTTCCAAATCACTAATTCATGGAGACACGAGCATCGGGGCTGTTTTTTGAAGAATGTTGGCTATCAAACTGGGTATTGCTGGTTGCTATTGACTTCCATAGTAGAGAAAAAAATACTATTGATGACAATGGCTACTGTCAACTATTTGGTTACAAACATTCTTCAAAATATCTTCTTTTGTTTCCACCAAATTTTTTTTATACATGTTTGGAATGACATGAGGGTCAGTAAATGATGATACAATTTTCATTTAATCCATCTCTTTAATAATGGATTTGTATTACAAACATGCAGCTGTTGAAAATGTTACCTTTCTGGGTGGAATAAAACTGAACTATTCGCTGTCAATCACTTGTTCTGCAATCAAAAGTGTTCAAGAACTGGGTGTTTACAAAGATAGAGCAAGTAGTACTCGGCTGGTCGTGTGATTTCAACATGTCGCATCCATGTGACAACCCTCTCCATTGAAAATAAAACAGAATTTATTAGGCAATAACATTTTTAAAGATTTCTTTACTCTGTGAAACTTTATAATAAGTGAACATGGACTCAGTCCTCCGTTAAAGCCTTAATTGAGTGTGAAATATTTCATGTCAGCAAATGCAAAATGTTCAAATGCTGGTACATTTGGTACGTTTTCAGTTCAGACTATTCCTTTTATTCTCTCTCTCTCTCTCTCTCTCTCTCTCTCTCTCTCTCTCACACACACACACACAGCTAATGGTGTGTTAATAGAGAGAGTGTTGTGGGCTGCTGTAGTCCAGGCCTCCTTTTAGCTGTGTGTGTAAGCGAGCGTGACTGTAGCATTACTCATGTCGTGACACAGCATAGCTCGTGCGACGAGAGAAACCTTATACAGACAGCATGTAGAGGACTGTGTGTTTGAGTTTGGCGTTCACACATCTACCGTCTACACGTCTCGCTCTTCCTCAAGTGTGATGTAGGAGCGACCTGGCCTGAAATCTCTGACTTTGAACATGAAATGAAATATATCCTTTCCAAAAACATACAGAAATGGAGAATGAGGCACCAGAACAATCATGACGTGCGTTGAAGTGGGCGGTTAAACAAAATCTGATTTCATGCTATGATTTTATTCCACCGCATGTTTGACAATACAGTTATTTTTGTCAGGAAATTCAACCCAGTAGTTTATATATTAAATAAAAATGCGGTAAAGATATTTTTGGATAGTCGGAGGAGTTAAATACTTTGTAAATGATAGCATTGTTGTTCTCATTTGATTATTTTCCCGTTTTATTTATAACTTGATGGACGCGAAGCATGATTATTCAGTTGAGTCTCAGTGGAAGCACATCAAATGAATTCTGTATGAATGTGGCAAGTTGCGTCATTGCTTGCCAACCACAAATGTAAATTCAACTTTTTTGCAACATGCCACACTGTGTATTTTGACATTCCTCCATGTTTTTTGGTTGCTCACATGTGTAAATAATTGAAAGCATTTCTGCCCGCTTATAACTGATATATCTGTGGTATAAACAGCATACCAGAATCTACTGGTTGATGCATTTCTATCATCTTGTGATATTTACCATCATACTGGCCATCCATTTCTTAAAAATAAATGTTCCAAAAGGGTGTTTTTTGCAGTGATGCCATAGAAGAACCAATTTTTAGAACATTTTATTATCTGATGTGACACTGAAGTAATGTTGCCAAAAATTCAGCTTTATATATTAAAATAGAAATTAGTTATTTTAAATTGCAATAATATTTCACAATATTTTCACAATATTACTGTTTTAACTGTATTTTTGATCAAATAAATGCAGCCTTGGTGAGCATAAGAGACTTCTTTCAATAACATTAAAAAAATCTTGCTGACCCTAATCTTTTGAATGACACACAGCCACTGAAATTAAGTATAGAGTAAAGACTCTTGGGATTTGATTCATAATTGAATAGTTGCATCTAACTTTTCTTCCCTCTGTCTTCCTCTTAGCCTCAGTCCAGCCCTGCGCCCAGAGGCTAGTGTGGGACCATGATGCTCAGCAGCTCAGTGGACGTACCCAGCCCTGGCGGGATGAGTGCGGTGGCGGCCAGGAACGTGGTTCGCAGTTCCAGCATCAGCGGCGCCATGTACAGCCTGCAGAAGAGCCCCAGCAGCACGGGGCCCGACGCCACAGGCCTGGCCGGAAACAAGAAGCGTCGCTCCAGCCTGGGAGCCAAGATGGTAGCAATCGTGGGTCTGTCACAGTGGAGCAAGAGCACACTGCAGCTCAACCAGCAAGGTGGGCAAGCTTTGAATACTCCAGCTACCCTGCTGTTCTCCGTCAGATATGATTGTTGTTTTCTTCACCTCTGTTTGCTCTCGCTGTCACACCCTGAACAATTTCACACCATTTCGTTTGCCATTTCTGGTGTGTAGTTTTTTCTCACTTCATTTCACTTTTCTTCACCTCCGCTCTACGTTCTTGTCCTTATTTGACTTTCAAGGTTTCATAAGGTTGCCAAGTCCTGTCAGTCTCAGTCCTCAACTGTTTTGAGGGCCATATGCAAGACAGAATTATTATTATCGTATTTTCTGGCTTGTGGACTTTTATGAGAATATAAAATCATTCAGGTTTTCAGAGAAATTAGATTAATTGCTATTATAAAACAATAGGCTACTTGATATTGCATTAATGCAAATAACATACAAGAGTCTCACACAACGATATCAGTCATTGTCCAACCAACCATTGCAAAGAAAATTCATGCTTAACACTTTTCCTCCCTGCTTTCAGGAAGACATTACATTCCAGAAATCAGTAAAAACAGCGAAATATCAAAGCAGCTGAACACAGCCAAGCTTTAAAACACACAAACGGAATAACTTATCACTCCAGAGCTGCAGGTTTAACCAGTCTAATATACATCTAGACAAACCTTAATCTTTACATGATCAGGAGGACAAAAAAAGAGCATGTACTAAGTATTCCCTATTTTTTTTTATGTTTTAGGACAGATGCCTCTTTCCAGCCGTCATGTTCTTACTCGTGTTGTTGACGTCATGCACAATGCATTTTGAAGTGACAGGAGTATCACATCTGTTAGAGAAAGGTTTAATTAAATTACAGTTACAGTTAAAATGTTAACGATTACAAAAGGAGTTATTCTCATCTGAATATTTTCACACACATACATACACACATATGATTCCTTTCCCAAATTGCATTGACACCTCTAAAATATGGGACACCAATGTTTCAGGAGTTTAGGACACAGAATAGGATTTTTTTTATTATAATCTTAATTAAAATGAAGAAGGTACTACTGTAAGGTTAACCCTGCCTGTTTTAAAATTATTAACAGTTAGAAATGTAGAAAAGTAATCAAATATAATCAGTTACATTACTTTAATAAAGTAATTGAAATAGTTACACTACTTATTACATTTTAAGTAGGGTAACTTGTAACCTGTAACCTATTACATTTCCAAAGTAACCTTTCCAACAATGATTTTTAGCACACAATGGTACTCTTATGCGCACTTCCTCCTCAATAATATTATAAACTATAGTGGAGCTTCATTGTGTTCCACAGTGATTTAATGAAAATATAACTGTAGTAGCATACTAGGAAAAAATTGTTTCTGGATAAATATGTTTAGATAAATATATGAACTATTTCTGACCATGTTTCATTGGTTTCCATTATCTACACACACATTTTTAGATCTTGCACCTATTACTTGTCTTTTTTTAAAACCCAGCTCTTAGCTTAAATTCTAGCTCTGCTCTGATAGCCTCCAAAACAGTACGGTCAAACACCTTTCAGAAAGTGTGTGAATTTAGTCATCAATTTGTGTTTAAATAGGTGCAGACATACAGGGAAGCCCCTTCATTAGCTGTTCTTCATCTGGTCTGCGTGTTTATTTGTGGCCGTAGGATATTAATGCTGTGTGTTAGTCAGTGGAGTGTGTGTAGATTGCTCTTAGTCAAGCGCTGAACAGGCTAACCTTCCCATCACTCTGCATGACTCATGCATGTGTGGCTGAGTAACACAGCATAACCTTGGCTTCTCCCAGGAATACACCTGCATCTCAATTCCGTTTGTCTAGTTGGTGAGAAATAGAAGATTTCACTGACCTAGATTAGAGTCTGAGGACGCTTCTGTTGTCTGCAGCCCACTGCTCTGCCTTTCTTTTTATATCCTCTTATTTTTGCTCTCCTCCGGTGTAATTGTGCTCCTGTGGGGTAATTACAGACTCTGTGACCAGGGGGAATCGTCATGTAACACTCTCGCTCTCTATAAGGGTCAAGAGCTGCCCACAAGCGTTAACACAGTTCAGCAAGCCAGCGCTGCAGTGTGTTCATGTGAGCCGTCCTGGCAAACGCAGACGAACCTGTCAGACAAATCCAGCTGCCAGTTTGTAAGGACTCTTGTAATGAAGACATTGGGTTAAATATATTTTTTACTTATTTAAGAACTGGCTCCTTTTTGATTCATGAGGGTGAATTTGAGTTGAATTGGCTACAGGATGTTGAATAGGAATTCAAATTGCAATGACAGCACAGTCACCCAACAGAAGGATTTTATTAGTCCAACAGTTGTTTTTTTATTAATTTAATTATGCCTGTTTGTTCCCTCATATGAATAATATGTTTTTTCTCAACTGATTAGATGTATTTCTCTAAACTGTCAAAACACTTCCTTTGCTTTGACAAACATTAGAGCATTCTTGGCAATGAAGTTTCATCCACCATGGGCCATTTTGTCCTATATAACTATTAATAGCTTATTAATATAAATTATATGTATAATAAATTGTATTACTAGAATAGTATTACTTGACTTAAATATACAATGGGGTATATATAAAGTCTGAGACTACTAGTGAAAACATTTTTTAATTCAAATTACATTATTGCCGTAACAATTTGAGTGAAACAGAAAAAAAAAACATCCCATAGAAATAAACGTTTGTGATCACTGTGAAAAATTCTGCTAAAAAGGAGAAAATTTAATAATTGAGGGATGAATTGAGACTAGGCAAAGTATTATTGTTTACATTTTTAAATAAAATGGCTAATTTATGCAGTAACGTGGAATCAGAATCGAGACAAATGCACCTCTAAGTCACTAAAATGGGAAAAGTATCATTTGAATGCAATAAAAATATCCCATAGAAATAAACGTCTGTCAACAGTGCAAAAATACAGTACAGTAAATAAAATGACCTTGGAGCAAATATAGGTGTTTTTACTGATGTTCTACGTCATTTGGGAGTTACACACTGTTTAATCCATAATGTTTTTGCAAGATTTTAAGATGGGGGCGACTGGCGTGTTTTTCAGGGCCGATGCCGATTATTACAGATCAAGCAGACCGATAACCGATACTTTGAACTAATATATATGTCTGGTGTAAAAATTAAAATTTATGTCAAAATTAAGGGCTCTGACAAAAACTTTCTTTAAATGCTTTTAAATTATTTTATCGGAAAATGACCGATACCGATAACCATAAAAATGGTTCAGGGCAGATAATGTGCCAGATCGATAATAGGTTGACACCTATTTTTAAGATTTAAAAATGTGAAAAAATGAAAAAATACTGCCTGTAACTTCGCTCTTTAAAGGGATAGCTCACCCAAAACGGCAAGATCTGTCATCATTTGCTCACCCTCACCTGGTCTTTCCAAACTGGTATAGCTTTCTTTCTTCTGTGGAACATAAAAGAAGATATTTTGAGAAATGTATCTTTTTTGTCCATATAATGGGGACCAGCAACATACTTCAAAATATCTTCTTTTGTGTTACACAGAAGAAAGAAGGTCAAACAGGTTTTGAATGACATGATGGTGAGTAAATGATGACAGTATGTTCATTTTTTTAAACCTTGTATCACTTAGTAAATTAGTATTGGTCTGTCAAGTTATAAGGGCGTGACTTCATAGAGAGTCAGTTCTCTTTCTATCTCTCTTACTTTCTCTCTCTCAGTACCTTATGTTGTTGCCTATGTACGCTTTATAAAGGATGACCTTTTCAGTGCGCTGTTGTCTCCCAGCAGGGCTGATGAGTCTCAAGGGTTGGATGTATTGTTGGTTTGGGGCTCCAGGGTTCACCTGTCTGGGGCATCAGGGCCAGCGCCTCAGCACCCATCTGCCCTTATCCTGGATAACTGCTTTACTTTGCTCTGTCACATTTCCACTTCCACACACCATGGATTCCAGCCAAGCAATTTAATCCGATACTGTGGTGTGGGTCTTATTCAGCTCCGAGTCAGTGATTCAATAAATGTGAGTGCATAAGCTCAGGGAGCCGAAAGACGGCGGAGAAATTGAGTGATGAAGGAGAATCGAATGGGTGATTGACTGACAAGACTGATAATAGACTTACTGTGTAAGTGCTTAATTTTTTCATTTATACTCGGCTACAGGCCAGAATGCTGATGTGGATGTGATAACAGTTTCAAAAAGATGTATATCTTTTTTTTTTTATAATATAATGTTAATGGAATAAAAGGCCACTTAAGTGTACTTAAATAGAGTATACACTTATTCTGGTGTGTTTACTAACATAGTAAAGCACATTTAAAGTACTTGATTATAATTTTACTGTTTTGTTATTCAATATTTCATTTAAAGTTAATAAATATTAAAAGGGTCCTATTTAGCTTTTTTTTTTACAAAGTCTTGATTTTGTTTTGGGGGTGTACTAGAACAGGCTCTCATACTAGGTTGTTCGAAAAACACATTATTTTTCACATATTTTACATTATTACAACACCTCTCTCCCCAGTCTGGCATGAACGACTCAAATAGTTCCTGTATCAAATGAAGGCCTGCCTTCTGAAATACGAAATGTGCTGTGATTGGTTAGCTGGGCCAATGTGTGCTGTGATTGGTTACCTGGGCCAATGTGTGCTGTGATTGGCAGCAAGAAGAAGACCAAACTTGAAGAATGTAATCAAGGCTGAACACCTCTTAATAAGCTCTATATTAATCCTCATCATAGGCTTGGACGATTTAAAAAATGAAACTTTCTATCTGACATGTATTTGCAAACGATTCATTTCGAGCATATGGGTGAGTCTCTGTCATGGTACAACATGACACCTTCACTTTCCAGCAGCACTGAACGGCTCTGGCAGGCAGGCAGGCATCACTGGCACCCGCTCCATCTCCATGACTTCACGCCACTCACCCGACCCTCGGTTTTTATTAAAACACAGCTGACAGCACTCCTTCCGAAATGAGCTGTCAATCTATTTGCTGTGGGGCCTTTGTACTGCAGGTCATGCTAAT